CCCAGGTCTCCTGGCTGGACTCTGGGAGTTCCCAAGTCTCCCACTGGCTCAAGATCTGCAGGAGGAGAAGGAGAGGGAGGTGCTGGCTGATCACCTCCAGGCCTGGATGGGGCAGCCCGTGGCAGCCAAAGGCCTGCGGTTCATTGGAGAGGTGAGCCTGGAGACAGAGGGATACAGTGTGAGCCCCCTGTGCTCAGCCACAGGGATGCAGCATAGGGGAAGAGGGTCCCCCTTCCCCACTGTCACCCCTCCCAAGCTCTGCCCCACTCCTCAGAGCCCTGGCAGACTTGATGCACTTGTGGGGCAGCTGAGCTGTGCACCCCTCACTGCAGGCCAGCTGCCTGTTTCATGTGTCTTCCCATCCCCTCACAGGTCATCCACATCTTCTCCCACATCCACCAGACATATGTGGTCTATTCCCTGCCCCTGGAAGGGGATGTGACCCTGGACCCTGCCTCCCCATCCCGCTGGGTGACAGAGGAGGAGTTCTATGCCTCAGCTGTGTCCACAGCCATGAAGAAGGTACTGGGGGGCACCTGGGCCTCTCCTCCCTTCCGTCAGTCTTTCTGGGAGAGCCTCTGCCATCCCCTCAGCCTCTGCAGGCTGTCTCAGCTCCAAGACCCAGCTGCTATTCAGCTCTGGGCTCTCTTGTGCTCCCTTCAGGTGCTGAAAGCGCATGAGAAGCAGCACAGGAAGGAGACCAGCCCTGGTAAGGTGAGCAGTGCTCCAGGGTGCCTGAAGCCCCAGGAGCTGCTCCCTGTTGCTGTGGGACAGCCTCTGGTGTGCCATGCTGAAGCCCCCATGGGGTTTGGGATCAGGCCAAGGAGCATCCTGTGGCAGGGGGACTTGCCTGGCTGGCACTGTCCCAGGATGTCCCCAGTACCAGGGGCCCCTTTCTCCAGAGGGGATCCCTGGAGACTGTGGGGGCCCTTGGGGTTTGGTTTAGTTCTACTGCTTGTCTCCTGTAGGGCTCCAAGCGGAAGAGGGGGGCAAAACCACAGGGAGCAGGCAGCACCTGCCCTGGGACACAGCTCTCCCTCCATGCCTTCCTCCGGGCACCGACTGCCCCATGACAGCACCTGCCACGTGTGAGACCCCCAGAGACCCACCCTGTGGGGAGTCCTGCCCGTGGCAGGGGATAGTTTGTCCCTGTGCTGCTGCAAGCCCAGTACATGGCACTGTACTGGTCTCCCACTTGTCCTTTCCACTGGCTCCCCTGTGGGAATTGTGCCTGGATGTGGCCACTGCAGTACTGAACGTGTCCTGGGGCCAGGCCTGCCCTCCTGGGGTTATTCAGCCCCTGGCACCATGGACTCACAGCAGCAGGGGTTCCTCTTTGGCAGCAGGAAGGCTGTGGCCACGCTGCTCCCACAGCCCTGTCCCCTGCCTGCACCTCATCCACCAGCCAGTGACTGGGGATGCTGCCATACCCTTCCCCGCCTCCAACAGTCCTTTTTATACACTTGTTTTTACTCAACCTGAACCACAGGCTTTCTAATAATAAATCCTAAGTGTGTGGGGTTTTCTACGTGACTTTCTGTTTCTGTTGCACTGTGCTAAGCTGGGGGTGTCGGGCAGCCTGTGGTGGAATGTGAAGACAGCCAGCAGGATCCCTACATTTGGGTTGGAGACAGCAGGGATTTCTTTGTTAAAGAACCCCTTGGCTGAGCATTAACTGCTGGTGACTCAAATAGGGCACCCAGAACATTCCTCTTGTGAGGGCAGGCATCAGTCTCTGAGGGCTGTGCTGCTCCTACCCATAGGCTGCTCCTACATAGGCCAAACAGCTGTCCCCAGGGCTTTTTGTAGGGTTTTATCCTTTTTTTTTCTGGCTGTTCCTCACTGTCCTGCTGAGGTTTTCCCTGACTGTGATGCACCCTTGCAAGGGCACAAGCCTGGGGGCTGGCAGGGACTGGGGACAGTCCTGGTGGGGTGCAAGGGGCAACGACCTCAATTTAGGGACTGCAGGGGTGGGGACAGCCTGCCTTGAGGGACAGAAATGGCCCTCTCATCCTCGCCTGGCACTCAGCACGTTGTAAATGGGAGGATTAAGAACTCAAAGCAGTACTTGCAAGTTAATTCTTTAATTGAGAGGAGCAAGAGGCCACCACTCACCCCACACAGGGGCTGGCCGTGCTCTGGGTGGTAACCATTGGTGAGCAGTCTGCCCAAGGCCCCAGGCTTATCCACTCCCCTCTGGCAGCCCTTCATTCCTCTACAGCTGGGGGTGGCTGCTGTGCCAGCACTACTCTTGGCCCTGCTGCAGGCTCAAGTCTCAATAAATTAAGATGAACTGAGGCAGAAAGTTCTTTGTGTGAGGTTGATAAATCACTGGGAACCCAGGGAGGGAGAAAAATCACCCTCCATCCTGGGGGATGCTCAGACCCCTGCTGCATTTGGTCCTGAGGGTCTTTCTCCCACGCTGAGTTGGCTCTGGGTTGACCTGGAGTGCTCCCTTGGTCCCTGCCCACCTGGGCCATGCCACCAGCACCCACTGGGATCTCTACAGTGGTGCAGTGCCCCCAGGGTTGGAGTGGAGAGGATGGGGAGCTGAGGGTGGAGGATTGCAGTGTTGCCACTACTGCTGCTGGTCCATATAGACCTGCACAGCTTTCCACAGTGCCCGTATATTGCCTTCCCCAAAGCCCGGTGCTCCCCGACGGTCAATGAGCTCCAGGAAGAAGGTCTCCTCGGAGAAGAGGGGGTGGGTGAAGATCTGCATCAAATACTCCTGAGAAGGGCTCTCTGTGGCATCAGCGCCCGGCCGGCCCTTGTCCCCAGGCACTGTGGTGTCCAGGAGGATGCCAAGCTCTGCCAGCATGTGGGGGTCCTGCCCGGCCCCCCGGATCTCCTCTGCTTTGCCCCCCTGGCTGTAATATGTGGCGGGGGGTGTGAAGAACCGCACACCCTGCTGCTGCAAAGCCCTGGTCGTGGTGACGATGTCGGTGGTGCAGAGGCCGACGTGCTGGATCCCGGCCCCGCCGTGCTGCTCCAGGAACGTGTCGACTTGGTTGGTGCCGTTCCGCGAGAGGGACTCGGCGAAGACCAGCTTGCAGCCGTGTGCTGGGGTGCCCTGGGCACTCTGCAGCGCGAGGAGCAGCATGCCCACCCCCTGCCCCCCCAGCACGTATCCCTCGGCCGGGCTCTCCTGCGGGTTCAGCAGGAAGCGGTGGAAGCCGAAGCAGCGCTGGTACCAGTCCAGAGCTGCCCGGGCGCCACGCCGGGGGCAGACATATGTGATGTGGTCAAAGTGGGTGATCTCAATCCCGTCCCCTGTGGCTGAGGGGGCTCCTTGGATGGGCTGGAAGCCAGGCAGGAAGGGTCCCTGGTAGCGAGATCGGTCTAAAAGGGTATGGCTGATGTTGCCCACGACGGAGCTCACCACTCCGTAGGTGACAGAACCGCCGTCATCCCTCAGCTCAGTGGGGGGCACCAGCAAGGAGCATCCCCGGCTCTGCAGC